TGCGTGTGGAGATGATAGATCACTGAGAGGAGCTTACGCACACTCGATGACCCGAGCAACCTTGTTGCTAGGCTGACGTCATATGGCATTGTTTCGTCGAAGGATCTTGCAACAAAATTCCACAAATTACGTCATCGGGTATTGTGACGTCATTGTAAACTTTGAGGTGCACGGCCCCGTTCCACAAGGCGATCGTACTGTAGCACGACAGTCGTTGGTCTAAGTTAAAGTATGTGAGTTGCGATAACCTTAACGCTACTATAATTTTGTGGAACGGACGCCTGAATTCTAAAGGTGGGCCGTTGTATGGTATTAAATTCATACGTTTCAACTTTTGACGTGTTTGAAGTATTATTGTGTTAAACTCAATTGGATTATGCCATGGATCGTGTAGGTGTCAGCCTATTCACACTCAACAGTATAATTCTAAAAACGTTATAAATGGCAAGTAAGATACCATAACTATTCACTCGTTTCATAAAATTGGTATTACACGGGAGCTCGTTTAGTATTCTATATTTATTAAATATGTTCACACCCTCTAAGTAATACCATATGCCATCGTATCTGTCAACATTGACAATTAAGATAACTACTGTTCACAATCATAGTAGCTCCAGTATGTAGAGTGATTGTTAATTCTTAATAGGTTACAATAAGATAAATATAATCATATCACTTCAGTCAAGTTCTGACATCCAACTAGATCTTATCAATGGTCAATATTTTCTACTTGCCAAAGACCCAGTGGACTTCAAATACAACTTGCAAAAGTTGATTAAACAAATAAATAGATAGCTTTGGTAAATGGTGTGTTAACGGTGAATGATTTATCATACAATGCCTGTGAAATTGGATTAAGTCGGTGTTGGGCTACTGCTCACTGGGAGTCACCGGGTGGTCAAAGATATTTGAATTTGAAATCACAATACCATGGCCAGACTCACTAAATATTTAAGTAAGGAGACCAGATGACAACAGAATATTTTTCAACGATGAGGATGTGGGCTGTTGAATACTTACGACAAATGTTGCCGTGATGGAATCGGGATGGTCAAATTGACACAGTTTGTCTCGCTTATGTGCCATGTTGACATCGCATATCTACATTGTGCTACCCTGCCTGCACTCTATGCAGTCCAAGCCTCACTTTCAAACCGGAGAGAGAGAGAGAGAGAGAGAGAGAGAGAGAGAGAGAGAGACGTCATCAGGAGGCTTACGTCATCGATGAGACGTCGGTCACATACGATCTTCATGCCATTACCACGACGCTATGGAGTATATGGTGTTGATATACAAGTAGTTGATGTAAAAGCAGTTGATATTATAAGCAGTTGATGTTATCAGCAGTTGATGTTATAAGCAGTTGATGGTATAAGCAGTTGATGTGTAAGTAGTTGATGTTATAAGCAGTTGTGTTATAAGCAGTTGATGTATAAGCAGTTGATGGTATAAGCAGTTGATGTGTAAGTAGTTGATGTTATACGCAGTTGATGTTATAAGCAGTTGATAGTATAAGCAGTTGATGAATAAGCAGTTGATGTTATAAGCAGTTGATGTTATAAGCAGTTGATGGTATAAGCAGTTGATGATATAAGCAGTTGATGTTATAAGCAGTTTATGTATAAGCAGTTGATGTTATAAGCAGTTGATGTATAAGCAGTTGATGTTATACGCAGTTGATGTTATAAGCAGTTGATGTTATAAGCAGTTGATTTATAAGCAGTTGATGTTATAAGCAGTTAGTGTATAAGTAGTTGATGTTATAAGTAGTTGATGTTATAAGTGGTTGATGTATAAGAAGTTAATGATATAAGCAGTTGATGTTATAAGTACTTGATGTTATAAGTAGTTGATGTTATAAGTGGTTAATGTTATAAGCAGTTGATGTGTGCCACCCCCACCCTCTTTTTCACATCTGATGACATTTGTATGTGCATTTTCTACCATGATAACATGTTGTTTTGGCCCCAGGGGAACTCACTCGCCCCCCTCCCCCCCCCGTCCGTAGGAATAATTTAGTTACACTACACACCGTCAATGATGATACTAATACTGTTTACATTATTAAAATCCATTAACGTGGGTCCCTCAGTATTCTCACTTGCCTAATAGTTTTTGTCAAGCCCAAAATGCAGCATATTAATGTATTATATGTACTTTCTGTAAACATGAGAAATTTTCTATAGATAGAGATCACTATATCGGACAAGGCAGCTCTTTCCCTCCTCAACAACGTTCATACTCCGTTGGCAAATTGAAGTAAGAGCCTCTTATTTCCTTCACTTACGTAACATTGCCGATTCCATTAAACTGACTTCAGAGAACCCCATTTACGGTCCAAGTTCAACGAAAGGTGGCACACTTATGAGAACCCTTTTTAACACGTTAACGCTTTATATGGCACTTTGCCACCATACAGCTATTAGTTACCTTTTACGTCAGGCGACTGTCGCTAATGTAGTATATAAGAAACATCTATAGTCTATTGGGGGTTACAGTTTAGTTTGACATGGTTTATAATTAACTGGTTATTCAATCGAAAAACATGTTTTTCGATAATTTGTTTAAAATCCATTGGTAAACTTTGGGAACTTACTCGAGCATTATTGAAGTCACCCAGAGTGATCGATGGAGAACAGAACTTCTTTCCTTTCTGTAATATCGATTTGAGGTTGAATAAAATTATACGAACCATGTTCTATATATTGCTTGGAAAATATTTTATATTGATATAAATAGAGACGACTTTTTCGAAATCGATAGGTATTCATTGATCAACAATAGCAGTAAATATGATGTGATTAACAACATTTGAAGCTCAGGGATGTTTCATTGAATCTGAAATATTATCAGCTATCATTATAGCTTACCATTTGAGAACTGAATTAGAATAGCTTAGGAGTAGAGATGGGGGTGTATATTTACTCTGCGGATCTTAAACGATGGACTTTCCCTGTAGATATGATATGAGCGTTCTTACTGGAATTTGAGATACTTGAATCATTTACGTATGTGATGGGACAAGGCTGATCAATATCATGCCATGATAAAATAACGGTTTAATGTTTACAATGAAGGTTTACCTTTCAAATTTCATACCCCCCTTTTCCTTTTTTATCCGGCTACACAAATCAATAGATCTACATTGCAAGTGATAAAGTTAGTTAGTTCCGCTGTTGAACAAATATCTGTCAAAAACATTACGCAGAGACGGTTTATTTCTAAAGTCTCAGAATTCAGGAAAAAGAAATCTAATTATATTTTGTTCTGGCTATAAGTTTGCCATTTCACATGTGACATAAACCACCAGCTTACAGTGTATTAGTGTAGGGTGATCAGCAAGCGGGATTGTTAAGCCTGACGGTAAGAGTTGACTGAACCACAATCCACTGAGCAACACTAGTTTAACAATGCCCAACTTTGTTTATATAACGCAGGCATATATACTGAACCGCAAAAGAAACGTCACCCCAAGTAACATTGCATGAAAAGTTGTCACTTAAATTGGGTAATTTTTGGCAAAGTTTCTAAAATGTAACATTACCTTGTCCGGAAAAATGAAATTTGATGATAAATAACAAAGCAGATGACAATAAAACCGATCGCCCAAACGCATTACGTGAGTTCCGTGCAAATTGAAATGCACATGCGTTCCCCCATTTCTTGCCCTATAAAAATCCGACCAGATCGGATAACATTCATTCGTTATTGAATTGCTACCACATGCCAAGATTGACAAGAAATCAGCGACACCAAGCCCTTGGACGATTGCAAACTGGACAAACCGCCCGGCAAGTAGCCAATGCATTTCAAGTCCACGTAAGGACCATATACAGGCTCCAGCAACGGTACCAGACCACCAACACTACAGATGACAGACCACGTAGTGGAAGACCAAGGGTCACCACCCGACGTCAGGATCGTCAGATTGTGCGACAGCATCTTCAAGATCGCTTTGTTACTGCTGCGGAAACTGCTCGACAGACCATGGGGACACACCAGCGACACATTAGTGCGGACACCGTGCGTCGACGATTGACGAGCAGATACCTCCACTGTCACAGGCCACACCGAGGACCCATTCTGACACCACGTCATCGCCGGGACCGTCTTCAGTGGGCAACACAGCACCAACATTGGCGCCACCAGCAGTGGAGAAGAGTCCTCTTCTCAGACGAGAGCCGTTAATGTATCTCAACAGCAAATGGCAGAGAGAAAGTCTAGCGACGAGGTTATTCGGATGCTTGTGTTGTTGAGAGAGACTCGTGGGGTGGTCCGAGCATCATGGTGTGGGATGGAATTGCTCTTGCACAGAGGGTCGGGCCTGTGGTCTTCCAGAACATCGGTCCAGGGAGAGGCAATGGTGTCACAGCAGCTCGGTACATTGATCAAGTCTTGAGACCACATGCCATACCTCATTTGGCACGTCGCCGCAACCACGAGTTTCAGCATGATAACGCCCGTGCCCACACTGCGAGAGCAACAAGAGACTTCCTCCAGCAGAATAGCATCAGAACCATGCAGTGGCCTGCCCTCAGTCCCGATTAAAATCCTATTGAGCACCCGTGGGACGAGATTTAAAGACGGTTGAATGACGTCCGACCAAGGCCGACAACTGCAGCTGAACTGCGTCAGGCGTCCCTCAGAATGTGGGTTCAAGTGCCTATGGCCTAGTGTTGTGTTTCACTTTAAGAACATTTGATACTTTTATTTCAACCTTGATGATCAGTTTTGCCAAGTTCCATCTTTTAATATGTCTCAAAGTATGTTTACAGTGCATGGACAAATAAGGTTTCTCACATATCTTCATGGTGACGTTTCTTTTGCGGTTAAGTATATATAACTGACAATTGCCCTGAGAAATTTCCTTCGTAAACGATTGAATATGTCTCTACTTAACCTGGGACCAACAGGAACACGCTCTTCTTATTAGCACTAGTTGGGAATACGAAGCCGAATAATACATGATGCTGATTAGGGTATTTCAAACGGTACAGATATGTTTGTACACACATGTAGTGTCAATGCTGGTGTAACAATGAAGATAAGAACCGTTTTATTATCATGTCATAAACTGTTCTACCAGTCATCCGCCCCACGGTTGGCGAAGTCAACAGACGTGTTCCTTAGGCATGTATAGCCATTCGCATGGTTGTATAACAACATATTTATGATGTCACGAATAGGAAGTAATCAACGTATATATTTGTTTCTGATGACATAAATTATATAAAAGTTAATATTGGTGTTGCGTTGGTTGCAAACGATTTCCCCACCTTTAATCAATCTTAAATGGATAAAACATAAGTACAGTACAATAATAAATTGTAGTTTTGACTCACAACATACAAAATTAAAAGATACACATTCAACTGGTATGGAAGTAAGAAGATAAGAAATTATATTTGTATGAGTACTATATCATTATATTGAGCAAATAAGTCTGTTCTTTTATTCCACTGTCAGTTGAGTCGTAGGCAAAAGATATAAGTTACACTATGTTCGTCTTGTCCTTCTTTGAATCCGGCAAGATGACAGGTTGCACCGAAAGCGATGCTGAAAGGCGCCTATTGGTTGTGTTGAACCGTGTCTTACACAGAACTGATTAAAAATGAATCCTGCCTTTTTATGCATCTGTCATGTTCTCTACTGTCCACGTGACACCGCGAAAGAAGAATCGTTGCATGTTCATCCTTCATAACTAGTCATCAATAAAGCTAGTTGTCCCACAAAAGCCACAGTTATCGGTAAAGGGCTTCAAATATTCCCTCGTGAAATTAATCATAATTTCTAGAATGATGTCCCTAAAGTTTCTATCGTGTCATCTTCAGATAGCGGCGAGCCATTCGGCAGTTCGTCCGCTAACACAAGGATCGGGGACCTCGTACATTCCATGCCCATATTCCTGTCCCATTTCATTTGTGCCTCCACAATTTCATTGGCTGGTCTTTCGTGTACACGTGCACGTTTGGTCACGTGAGGGGATTTTGGACTCTCATCTTGTACTGGAGCTTGCGGTCTTTTCAACGTCGTTGTAATGATGGTTTCTTTCCGTGAGATCCGCGACGTTAAGAGTGATGTCAAAGAACCCATGCGTTTGAATTTCTCCCTGGTGCCCATTTTCTCCAGTTCGATAGTGGATCTGTTTTTGAGGCTATTGTCAGTGTTGGAATTGGTGTACGTCTGATTTCTCTGATCAGACATACAGCTTGACTTGTAACATGGGGAAAGATATTTGATGAGGTTCCCGCTGAAGGCCAGGTAAATCCATGGGTTGCAGCAGCTGTTGAGGCTTGCCAGGAGCAGCATAATTACAATACTGTTGTCTGAAACGAGAATGTCACAAGATTACTATCACCCGAGTTTGGTTATGTTATAATGTCAAGGAGATTTGTTCGGATTCATTGATTTGTTTCTACCTGTGGCAAAAGGTCCTCAGTGCTTCCTCATTGTCGTAAGACTAAATAGAATTTGGTGGTGAGAATGTATGACATCGCAGGTTTGCATGAATGTGTCAACGTTACCAGGCAGCTCGGTGCAATAATAGCTATGTTCATCTTCAGTAAGTGAACATTGTTTCACTACATGGTTTCCAGAGAATTTTTGTTAATTGTCAGGCTGGAAACCATTGTGTGTGTTTCTTTTGATTTGTCTTTCTGGCGATAAATAAAAAAATGTTCTCCGTTCCCGATAGGATTTTTCGGAAAGGTCGTGAACCGAACATGACTTGGATATCACGCTGTATTTGGGTCATGCTCGAAACTAACAGGGTTTTTTTGCTTTTATTTTTATCATGATGTTATTGTACATGATGTTGTGCAAACACACACCTACATCTAGCAAAATACTCCACTCCACTCCACTCCACTCCACTCCACTCCACTGCTTGATGTTTTTCCTTACGCTCTAGCTATGGCAAAGTAAGTTTGATGCTGACGATAGATTTGTAATAACGAATTATACGTTTATCAATCATAACTATTTATGATTATCATAACTTTATATAATCATTCATAATTGGTTAGTAACGTCAGCTGGTGTGTAATGTTCAGACTGTAGTGCTATCACAATCGCATGTTTCAGTGAGAACAAGCTGTTTACAAACTTTCATTATATATCGAGGCACTGATAGTTCTCTTCAAGAGTATTTTCAATGTAATATCAAGATAACTATTGATTTACCATTATTGGGATATTTCATTATACTAAAACTGATGTTAAACGAAGCAAGAGAGTATTTAATCATCTCAGACACTTCATATTACAGGATACGGTTTACTATGTCGTAAAACATCAGCTTACTCCAGGCCATCAATGACGCAGTCCAGTAGTCATTGCCCAGTCTTTTGCCGTGGTGGCCAGCATGCTTAAATGGGAACTTTTGGCTCTGGCTGTAGTGCTTGTCACTAATATAGGACGTTGGGCCTTAGTTCGAGGTTTAATATTCATGGTTCGCAGGGTCATAATTGAGATCACAGTAACAGTTAACCCGACGACCCAGGATACCTAAAAAGATAGGGAAATCTACTTAGAAAGTTATGACCGTACAATATTGGCTTACCCCGCAGAGATTTCGAGTCGAAATGTATCTCTATAAACGCTATACCGTCGGTGTCAAATAATTGCACTAGTTGGTGAGGATCATCGCCACCATTAAGACCAAAATACACAAAGAAAAAGGTTAAGCACACCCTAATATGTTTCATTGTTCATTGGTCCCAATATTTGTAACAGTCATGAAAGATATAATTATGGGAAGAATTATGTTTTCTCGAGATGATGTAATTAGTCATGCGTGACGAAAGCTCAAGTGCCATGCATGGTGTGCCCGTGCAGCATGCTACCCTCGAGGACTGAGGGCTAGACGATTCATAAAGCGTCCCTTGTTGAAAGATGACCACAAAGCTGCATGGTGTGTTGCGCGACAGAACTGATGGAAGACGGATCCATTGGTCAGACGAAAGGCGCTTTCTGTTCCACGTCACTGATGGAAGAACGAGGGTTTGGAGGCACCGTAACACGGCCTACACCCTCAGGGACATTAAACCGACTGTTGCCAACGGCGGGGGCTCGGTAATGGTTTTTGGGTGTATCTCTCATGATTGCAGGTTGGATTTGATCACCATAAGGGGCAACTTAACAGGGGCTCAGTATATCCGGGACGTTTTGAGGCCAGTCGTCGTTCCTCATTTTGACAACCACCCTCTTGCTACTCGACCTCAGTACATGGATGGCAATGCCAGGCCTCATCGTTCGCGTGCAGTCGTTGATTACATGCGGGCCAATATAATAACGACTTTACCCCGGCCAGCAATCAGCCCAGATTTGAACCCCCTGGAACATGTTTGGGGTATTTTGGGACGGCGCATACAGGCACGAGATCCTCCTGTACAAGATTTACGCCAATTGGAAGCAGCATTGCATCAGGAGTGCTTGTTGTTGACCCATCAACAGATCCAACGTCTGACGTAGGACGTATGAGACATAGGGTGGAATGCGTCATCCGGGCACGTGGCGGTTATACCCGCTACTGGTCTGTTTCACGTGTCATGTCAAGTAGAGACTTTAAGGAACATTTTCACATGAAACATCAAACGTAACTCGTTTACTCCATCCTGTTAACTTAATCCTGCAGTATCATACTTTTTATAGGTATTGTCTAAGGTCAAAAACAGTACCTGTGTTACCATGATGTTTTTGTCAGTAAATTTCAATCACAACTCACCAATATCTTCTTTAATTTGTCAAATGTTTGTTCTATCCGATGTCATTGGTATCGCCCAGCTCCTGTGGTCAGTCATTCTATGCCGTGATTTTTGCCATTTGTCATGGTTCAGAAATAGGGGTGTCCTTAACTTTTTCTTTGTGTATATCAGTAGCTGATTGTGTGTACCTGACGTGGGTCGTGTCCACACTATCGGCAACATGTTGGTCAGGTCAAGGTTCTAAATGCATCACAGTATAAAAATTTGGGCACATCATACATGTTACTTTTAGCCAAGATGGTTGGTATGTTTTAGGATTCAGCAAGTCCGAGGAATTGGTTGTTCTGTCGTGGGTCACTACAATTAATATATACACCCTACCCATTCTTTCTTTCCATGCAAATCACCAATCTAGTCTTCGCATTTCCTCACACGTGATTCTACAATCTGAAAGTGCCCCCCCCCCCCCACACACACACACACACACACACATGCTCTGCATCTACTGTGGACTATCTAACATCAGCCCACCCACCTGCTCTGTACCTACTGTAGACTATCTAACATCAGCCCACCCACCTGCTCTGTACCTACTGTGGACTATCTAACATCAGCCCACCCACCTGCTCTGTACCTACTGTGGACTATCTAACATCAGCCCACCCACCTGCTCTGTACCTACTGTGGACTATCTAACATCAGCCCACCCACCTGCTCTGTACCTACTGTAGACTATCTAACATCAGCCCACCCACCTGCTCTGTACCTACTGTGGACTATCTAACATCAGCCCACCCACCTGCTCTGTACCTACTGTGGACTATCTAACATCAGCCCACCCACCTGCTCTGTACCTACTGTGGACTATCTAACATCAGCCCATACACCTGCTCTGTACCAACTGTGGACCATCTAACATCAGCCCACCCACCTGCTCTGTACCAACTGTGGACCATCTAACATCAGCCCATACACCTGCTCTGTACCTACTGTGGACCATCTAACATCAGCCCACCAACGTGTTGGAATCAGAAATACGAAATATGATGATGTTTCACTGAATTAGGCTTCCATAGTTTCATGAACCCAAATTTGTTCAGATACCACAAGGAGAGCGTGATTTACGTGTTGCTGCAGTTCCCCTATCCTATAAATAGTGAAATTCAAGTTTCAGACACGTAGTTGCATTTTGCTCCTGTGTGAGATTCCCCTTCCAACAGAGGTTGTAAATCCGCCATGGTGAGGAGAAAGTTAACGAACGCTGAAAGATGGCAAGTGATAGGCATGAAAAATGCTGGCATGTCATGCAGGGCCATTGCAAGACAAATGGGTCGTCACCACAGTGTTATCACTCGTTTCATTGTCAAACATGGTCAAACCAATGATGTCAATGACAGGCATAGGTCTGGTAGGTCAAGAAAGACCTCTAACAGAGAGGATAGCCGTATTTTCAGGATAGTCAGACGAAATCCATTTGCCACTTTAGCAGATTTAAGACTGCAGTGGATTACCCATCAGAGACTCTCGACGATGACCGTAAGGCGTCGAATCAGAGCGGCTGGTTATAACGCCAGAAGACCAGTAAAACGTCCTCAACTGACTGAGAGGCACATGCGGAATCGTCTGATATGGTGTCGTGCCCGTAGTCGATGGAACTTGGCCAACTGGAGAAGGATCCATTGGTCTGACGAGTGTCGAATGCTGCTACGAACTGTTGATGGTCGAATACGTGTTTGGAGGCAAAGTAACACTCGTTTTGCACCAAGGAACATCTAGAAGACCTTAGCATGTGGCGGGGGGTCTGTCATGATATGGGGTTGTGTTTCCTTCGGCTGCAAACTTCCGCTGGTGACAATTCGTGGAATCCTGAATGGCCAACAATACCAAGATGCCGTTCTTCGTCCAGTGGTAGTCCCTCATTTTGACAACCATTCTCTTCAGACAAGACCTGTTTACATGGACGACAATGCTAGACCACACAGATCTCGGGCAGTTTGGGCTTATTTGCGTCAAGAAGCTATTGCCACTCTTCCTTGGCCGGCCTGTAGTCTTAATCCGATTGAGCATCTCTAGGACATTCTTGGCCGGAAAATCAGACATCGTGATCCCCCAGTTCAAAATCTCGCTGGACGTGAAGCCGCACTTCATGAAGAATGGATCAATTTGCCTCAGAGAAGCATTCAACGACTTGCAATGAGTATGAGGCGTAGGGTTGAAGCTGTGGTCAATGTCCGTGAATCATACACACGTTACTGACGTTTCTGTATTGCAATAGACTCTGCACTCCCTTGGGTGTCTATGTGACACCTGATATGGTCTGCTGATATCATGACAGTTACATGACAAAAAAGTTTTTCAATGTTTTCTAATCCTTCAATTTCTGGTCTTCGATAAAATTCCTTTCTGCTCATATTCTTTTGGAACACAAGATAAACTTGCTTTGGAACAACTTTTGCATCACATGAGGTTTACATATACGGCTTATAACAATCGTACATCTCGTTATAATAGTCATCATTAAGTGCCAAATGTAACAGCTCAAAAATATGGTGTGTGGCGCTTAACTTTTGTGCATGTGTATACATCGTACAAGTTCTGTTCTGTTTATTGATATATTCACG